TGAGGTCAACAAAAAAGACAGGAACTCACCTTCAAAAACCTTTTTACAGTTTCACAAACAAGTTCTGCTTCACCCATGTTGTATGTCAGCCCAGCTCCATCATTAGACATTGCGAATTCAGGTTTGGTACGAGCTCGCGTATCAATGAAAACTACAGAATCCTTTAGTGCACCGCTTTCTACACTATTCCAGGGATCTGAAGAAAATGCACAAATACTTCTCTGAATCAAAAAAAAAAACGAAAACTTTACCTTCCTCGCTGCAAGACATCTGGTAGTTCTGCGACTCCGATAGGCAAGCGTTAGCTACGTCATCAGTTCCACAGACAAGACGATCTTCATAGAAAAGCTCACTACTGAGCTTGGCAATCACACTAAACTTTGTTTGTAAAAATTAGACGTGTTCAAGCAAGGCGAATTTTAAAGCCAAAAATCTTAAGTTTTCATCAGGGAAACAGGTTCAAAAAAAGAGCAGCTGGACCTCTTCAGATGCGAACAGAAATCGTCGTTCTCAGCAATTTCACCAGAAGCTCTCATGTATTCAAACCAGCCTAATTGACTAGCCTGAGACTGCAGTCTAGAGACCTTGAAAAGTGACCATTTCCATAAGAGCAGGTGATGGCTGCACTAATGCGCTAAAATTGAAGAGAGAACAAGTGGAAAAGAGGGGCAAGGAGTGGGACAAAGGTGATGGTATTTGGTTGCCTCATAATTTTTCACCATTCTTACCACAGCAATCTACATAAAGTTCGAGGCCAAACGCTAAGAAGATCTAAACGCAAAAAGTCGAGAAGAAAATCGACATTTGCTTATATCCATGCCTAAAAATGAAGATGAACACAACTTTCATGTTCTGAAGCTGCATTGAGCTGCTCTCACAGAGGTAATTCTAGGGTATGAACCTTTGGAAGTATAAACATAAACTTTTGGCTTTTCACAGGCATTAGTTTTCTAGAAATTAATGGCGCAAAAAAAAGAAAAAAGACGACTTTTCATATTTTTGACCTATGTTGAGGAGCGAATGTTTCTCGGGTTCAAGCGGTCGAGGAGATAAGCGAATTTACAGATAGGGAGATGTAGAGAGGACACAGAGAATACACAGAGAGACAGTGTAGTACATGCTTTAGCAAGTAAGAAGCTCTTAAGTCCTTTCTGGATGGAATAAAAAAATTTTCTCGATGTGAAACAAACTTTGAGGAGATATTAAGGTGCAGTTTTGTAGAGATTGTTTGCCCTGTTGAATGATGTCGCAAAAAACAAGAATAATCAGGTTGTTGTGGGGAAATTAAAAACTGTACAAGGACACTTTAATATCAGAAAAGAATGATCTAAAAGTAGAAGATTTATAGAAACAAATAGTAAGGGGATTTATATACTTCTACTGCACTGAAACCGACTAACTCTAGGGGGCATTTTTTTGAAAGAACTCAGGACCACCAAAAAGGATTTCGCATATGTCTTCTTAGGAATTCTTCCACCCGCATTATTTTGTAGCCTTGAGAAGTAAATCGTTGAGATCTCGAACAACTTTGCCATGATTCTTTCAATTTTGTGGAAATGATGGCTACCTGTTCATCCGATATTGTGAAACAAGTGAGTGCAGCGCATTTTTGTGAATTTGCAGCCGCTCAAACAACGAAACCGCCATTCCTTCCTCTCTAAAAATAAGTCTGCTATGAGAATACTTTATAAGACAAAGAGCTTGGAAGAAAAAGAATAAACTCACGCGCATTTGCTATTCTGGACAATAGGCGCAAGCTGATGAGCATCACCAACAAGGATAAAACGACTGGCCACCGCTAACGATGAAAGTAGGACTGGTTCCAGTACCTAGGAGGCCATAAGGTTTTGTTGAAAACTTCCACCTAAACTCTCACCATGGAAGCTTCATCAACAATACAACAATCGAACTTTCTCCACGAAAACAGAAGCTCCCTGGGAACGTTATGGCAGGTGCTCGCAACTAAGGGCTAGAAAATGTAGTTAAAGAAGAACGATAAGTAGTTGATAAAGCCAACCGACCGTGTTTTTCAGTATATCTCTAGCAGCAGTGTACTTCTCAACAGTGATACCTTTCAACTTCGACTGCAAGGTCAAATCTGCCACAACCTTTCGACCAGAACTCGACTTGCCAAGTCGCAGCAGTTTACTCCCGTCCACATGCTAAACATATGGCAATTTAGTTTTCACACTGGATGGCTTTCCGCTTTGTCTTACCTTCCTCAATTTGGCTAAGACATTGTCCAGAGCAGAATGAGTGTTTGTGGTAAGCAACACCGAACAATTCATTTCCAGTAAACATCTTAGCAAAGCCACTATGGTGGTTGTCTTTCCTAAAAAAATAGATAACTCAAAATCGAACCAAAAGTGATGAGATCTCAAACACGCACCTGATCCCGGGAATCCCTCAATAAGCGTGTAGTCACTACAGAGCAAAGCAGAACGTACAGCTTCACGCTGCTCTTCATTCAGCTCATTTTCAGAAAGTATCTTTCGCACAGAAATAGGAAGACTGGCACGGTCAGGTTCAGGTGGTGAAGGTGGGACTAGGTCCACAATCAGTTCACGCAGACGAGTGCTGAACACATGCAGTCAGTCTACATATATTATGACCAGAAAATAATCGAATTCTTTCGAATAATGACTGATTCTAAATTGATGTGAATTAATTAAATACAAATCATTATTGAAAATCAAATCATTATTGAAATCAAATCATTATGAAAATCAAATCATTATTGAAATCAAATCATTATCAAAATCAAATTAATCTCAAAATAATTGATTTTAATAATGATCCTAAAAAAGGAAAACAAAGAGGCAAAATTTTGTGAGTTATTCCTGCACGAACTATAATTACTTTTTGTTATTCAATAAAAACAACTGCAGTAACAAAATGTATATAACATTCTACACCAAAAATGCAAGATAAAATAGATTTTAAACTTTAAAGAGATCTGTGCTGTCCCACCTGCGTTCATCGAAACCCATAAGAAGAGTAAGGTTGCCAAGAGTTGTAGAGTATGTAGAAAAGCTATTGTAGAGATCGAGATGGTAGACCTCTTCCTTATCCAGCATCCTATCACTGCGTACTGTCACAGATGTAGCTGGAATCGATGAAAATAGAAGA